TTATTTTTTTATGCATCTTCTCCCCTAGGTCTTTCTTTCATATATTAATAAACAAAGGCTATGTTATTTAATCGTTCAATAAAAGTCTATGTTATTTAATCGTTCAATAAACAAGGCTGTGTTATTTATTGTGAATTAATATGCAAGGTATGAGTATTATTTGTAGAGAAATGTTAAAGAGAGTTTTTTTTTAAGTGAGACTTTATGGACTCTTTATCCTTTTTACTTTTTGATATAATATTTTATAATAATAGCACAAAAATTAACAATAATTTATGAGGTGGCAGAAGAGAGATTTTTCAGTGTACCCGGAATGTGGGGCTGTACACCATGTGTCACTATATAAGTGGTGAAAGTTTTATAATGTTGGCACATAAATTAATATTAAATTGTGAGTTGGCGGATGAGAGATTTTTTAGTGTGCTCGGAATACGAAGTGGTACATCATGTGTCACTATACAAGTAGCGAGATAGTTTTGTTAAAAAATTAACAACTTAAAAAATGAAATTTCCCACCACTTATGTAATGACATGTGGTGCACCACCTTTATTCCAAGAAATAATGAAAAATATATCGTCCACTTATATAATGACACGTGATGTCATACTTGTGTTCTGAGAAACTATGAAAAATTTATCGTGGAAAAAATTCATATAGTATCTCACTTTAAGAGATCCTTAGCATTTCTCTTATTTTTATTCTTTTTACAGGGTTTCGAAATCAAATAATGAGTGAATTGCACATTAAAATAATTATCATCACTTACCTAATAATCATATATTTAATCATTAAAAGGGTATAAGATCACTACGGAGGGGGCAGTTAGCCTCGTGCATAAATTTTGTTATTTTACCCCCTCAAATTTGGAATCGATTTCAATTCCTTACAACATCTTTAAAATATTTCAATTTCATACATGTACTTATCATTTTATTTCAATTTCATACATCTGTTAAGTAAACCGTTAAGTGATGATGTGTCAAATATGAGATCCACATTTGTGATGATGTGGCTGCCAAAGTTGTGCCACGTGACAAATTTTTATTTTTTTATGCATTTAAAATATTATAATAATTTACCCAATTTAAAAAATAATAATAAAAATAATAATAAAAACCTTCCTTCCCTGAGCCCTTTCATCCCTGCAACCCAAACACCCCATCCCACCCCACCTAACCCAAAAAACCTAAAAACCCATTCCCCCGACCCACCTCCCTCTCCTCTACTCTCTTCACCTCCCCTCTGAAACCGGACGCCATGGAAACCAGAGCTCACCCGCAACCAATGCGACTCGTCAGATTCATTGGCGGTCGAACTCGGCCTCAAAGTCGATTAGAATCTCTCCTTTTCTTTTCCGCTTGGAAACGGCACGACGGCCAGAACTGACGACGTCGTGTTGAATATGCTTGTGGAGATTGAAGAATATGGATTTTTGGAAGGGGTGATGGGAGAAGGGGATGGGCTCGGGGTGAGATTTTTGGGGGTGGGTGATGATGGATGAGAGGGAGGGGGTGATGGGTGGGGAACGATTTCTGGGTGGTTTTTTATTTATTTATTTTTTAGGGTAAATATTATAATATTTTTAATGTATACAAAATTATTATTTTTGTCATGTGGCACAAATTTGGCAGCCATGTGGCAGCCATGTGGCAGCCATGTGACACCAATGTGGCAGCCACGTTAGCTTTTAATGAATCAATGAATGAAAAATGTAACAGATGTATTATATTAAAATAAAATAGTACGTGAGGTATGAAAGTGAAATGTTTTGAAAATGTTGTATAAGGTTGCAATAAACCTCAAACATGAGGTAGTAAAGTGTAATTTACTCATTTTGTTAGTACACATCCCCTAAAGCTATTATTCTAATCTTTTGGGGAGGATGTACACGAATTTGTCAAGTATCAATAATGTCGATATTTTTGTCAATAATATTGATAATATAGTGAAATGATAATGTTAGAAAAATTAAATTTGTAAGCTAAATAATGTTTCACTAATATGATTGAGCATATTTATCAACGCTTTAAGTAATATTTCAATTATCAACTTACATGTATTTATTTTATGCAATTTTATTTATAAATTTAGTCACCCTAACATTAACTATAATGAAAACAGGTCAAGACGCCTTTCTATTGACGAAACAAATTGATACGTTTTTATATTGACTTATTATCTACCGTAAATATCAAGTGCATCCCGTTCAATTGTTTACGTATATCCCGTTCTTGCGTTCACTGGAATTTTCTTGGGCAAAAACACACAGAAAAGTCAATTCAATATACCAAGCCATCGTCTTATCCATCTCTCACGTAAAACCCCACCCACTTCCCCTTCCGATCGTCAAATCAGATAATAATATTCTTCCCCTTTGAATTTCTTCCGTATATAATTTCATCCCACTAGCTTCCCAATCTCCCTTTTCAGCCATCAAGATATATTATTCTCCATGTCCCTTTGAGCTTCAACAAATTACTATGCCTACCCATTTTCTCCTAAAACTACCCATCTCCTTCCTCATCATCTTCCACATTTTGATCACAGTAATATTACTCCCCACCGCCGCTTTCGGAGAGGATGATCACCGATACACCGAGTGCCGCAGCTACTACGACTGCGGCCTCCTCAAAAACATCTCCTACCCCTTCTGGGCCACCGCCAGCCGCCCCCAACACTGCGGCCGCGAAGACTACGAGCTCACCTGCCGAGGAGATCAATACCCTGTCATGAAAATTAAAGACCAGGATTTTCTTGTGTTGAACTTTATCGGACAGTTTTACACCATGACAATCGCTCGCTCAGATCTCTGGGACACCGCCTGTATTACCAACATTGTCAACACCACTTTGGACTACGACCGTTTTTCCTACGTCCCAGCTGTTCGGAACCTGTCGCTGTTCTACGGCTGCCCACCGCAGAGCGAGTCAGTACTCAATAACTTCACTTGCAAGGTAGAGGGTACGGACCACAATATATCATACTATGTCGACGACTCTTTGTCGAGGATTCGTCTGAAAAATTGGGCCTCGTGCCATACGAATATTCGAGTTCCGATTATGTGGGAGGGTGTGGATGCTATGCCGCTGGAGAATGTGACGACGGTTGTGCTCAAAGAGGTTTTGAAACAGGGGTTTCAGGTGGCCTACGATGCGGAGTGGGAGCTCTGTAATCGATGTTTAATATCCAATGGAACCTGTGGGTCGAACTCGAGTAATGATTCTTTTCTATGCTTGTGTGGGGACGGACCTCATGATCAGACGTGCCCAGTTGTTGATGGTACGCATATGCTCCTATTCCTTAATCTATCTGTTAATTACTTAAGATCAATTTTCTTGGTTTAATATAAGACTAGAGATGCTACTTAGTGTTACAATCTAGTGATAAGTGATAGATCTTAGGTTTGATTATTACAAAAAACAAGTTTGAATTACATTATTGCTAACACATGTAAGACTTAACCCCTCATCCACCCCTCTAGTATAGATAATATGTATAACAATTAAAGATGAATCCAGGTGAAAGAAGAGTTTTTTATTTTTTTATTTTTTTTTATTTTGGAGTTTCCGTTAATTAGTCAAAATTAGACAACATCAAATATTCAACTCTGTTGGCAATGACAGAAAATTATCCATGATGTAATTAGTTTTCAGATTATAAGACATAATTGGGGAATGCTTGGTTAGTTTGGGCTTCCTATTTTATCTAAATTCCAAAGGCATATACTGAATGGACATGGACGGTAGACACCAAAAGTGATGCTTCTTTGACTAGTCATCGTCTAAAACTCGTGGACAAACCAGAAGGTTTGTTACCAGTCGTAGGTGAAAAGATATGCCATATGCCACGTAGAAATTGACCAGTCAAAGGTCAACGAGGTTAGCAAGGAATTCTATAAGATTTTAAATACTTCACACTTCACGCAACAATTGATCTTGTGATTCTTTCCACAGACAATTTCTCCACCTTCCGATTGAGATCAGATTAGGTGTAGTGAAGCAAGATTGCCATTAAGTCTAACCGAGCACATTGTAATTAGGGTTGAATTAAGAGAAATTCTTACGTCCGGCTATTTCTACATTTTTTTTTTCTTGTGCTTGTGTTCCACATGCAACTGGATTTAAGAATATTTTAGACTTTGCACACCCACACGCCCGTATACAATTTACAGAAAAGCTCACAATGATCCATCCCATGAATTCTAGCCTCTCCCACCCCCTCTTGATCCCATTCCTTGTGTCTTGGCCGAAAGTGTCACACAGAAAGAAGAAAAGAGTTCAAAATTCCCTACTTCTTTCTACACTTTCGGTTCAACCAACCACAAATCTCAATTTTCAAGCAAATCCACCGAAACATATGTAGTGCTGCATCACTCATTTTATTGCCTACCTCAAAATTGAAAATTTCTACCCTATTTTTTTGTCGGTTCGAATTGGTAACGATCCTTTCCTAAGCAAAAACATTTGGTATTTTCGTTTGCAATCCAAAAGTTTAGGAGGAGGGGAGGCTATACCCCATTTCAGAGCTGGGAATATATCATTTTTTTAATTTTGTTAACTTTCGAGAACACTTCGGTTTTCAGTATATTTCAATTTATTTTAGGTCTTTGTTCAGTCACTTTGAATTTTCATTGAATTTGGTTCTAAGTGTAGGTATTTCCTTTTAGGGCATTTAGCATTGATTTTTCTGAATCTCATTCCTTGTTCAAAAATCAAAAGTCAACATTATTGCCAAAATAATGTATATGCTTCACTAAATATCATCAAAGTATACCAGTTTCTCGAAGGGTGTCCAAATGACCAAGAACGTAGTGGAAAATAAAATATTGCCATAAATTATTAGGAACTTTAACGAAAAACTCTTGGTACTGTTTACTTTAAAGAAAAACCACATTTTTACATTAAAAAGTCATATTAGTACTATTCATTTTACTCATTATTTTGTCTTTATTATTAAAACTCAAAGTTTTCAAGCTATTTTAATTAGTTCTCCTTAAATTATTTTGTTTGGTTTTGGGTTTTCCAGCATTTGCTACCAAAATTCCACAAAACTTCAAAATCAAAGTCTTATTTTGTATGATTCTCTCGTCTCGTGTGGTCCTTCTCGGCAAACTTTCCACCAAAAAGCTGTAAATCATTTCTGGACGGTGTTATTCCTTTGAAATGAAATAATAACCTTGTTCAAGCAAGCATATTTATTTGTCAGAAAATGCTTTAGCTCTTCCAACAGCAGTTTTAAACGAATCCAAAATCTATTTTAAAAGCTTCCCTTCGGGTCCATTTTGCTATTCCTTCTCTGTTTTTCTTTCTGTTTCTTGATCATGAATCTCCTCCATATCATTGTTGTCACCATCATCTTCACAACCTTCGCCAACCGAGCTTTCTCCATAGACCGAAGCTTCGAGCGCTGCGAGCCTCAAAAGTGCGGACATGGCCCGAATATAAGCTACCCTTTTTGGCTTTCTGGCAACCAAGACTCCTTCTGTGGTTACCCTAGCTTCAAGATCACCTGCAACGGAAGATTTCCGGTACTGAGTATTTCAGGCGATGAGTACATAGTTAAAGAAATCTTTTACTCAAACCATTCGTTTGTGCTGGCCAACGCTGCTGCGGTCTATGATGAGAAATGTCCACTCCCTCTCCACAACTTCAGCCTCGAACGAACGCCTTTCAAGTATAGTTCCAATCACGTCAATTTTTCCTTCTTTTATGGTTGCCCCGAAGAACCTTTGGAATACATGCTTCCATATCCCATTGACTGTGCTAGCAACGGCAGCCATCACTCTTTTGCTATTTTTCACATGGAGGTAGTTGAGCGCATGAGCTATTCGTTAGACTCGTGCCAGTCTTCAGTTCATTTGCCTTTCGATGATGCTGTTAAAGTCGACGCATTGATGCAAATGAACTACACCGAAATCTTGAAGATGGGGTTCATTTTGAATTGGACTGCGCAGAACTGCAGCAATTGCCAGAGGAGTGGCGGGCGCTGTGGATTCGATAACAATGAATTCGTGTGTTTTTGTAGTGATCGACCTCATGTCAAAACCTGTGATGATGGTACTTCTGTAGCAAACTTTTTCCCTTTTAGTAATGCTTGAGTTTTTCAGAAAACCTGCGCACAGTAGAGATTTCTTCTGTAAAGTATTTGTGTTTGTATATAGAGCGGTGAGAATATGCATGTTTGAGGTTTAAGTTTGTATCATAACTATATTCTAAGAATTCTGCTTGTTTGATTTCTTTTGCAGACAATCCTTGGAACTGGAAGAGGAAGGTTATTGTAGGTAATATATCAGCAAACCCCTTTGTTTCTTCAATCCTTAATGTTCTATCACATTTCTCAATTAGATTATATTCACTAATCAGTATCTAATTATCAACATTGCAACCTCTTATCAGGTGTTTGCACAGCTACTGCTACCGTTGCTATAATGTGTCTTATTTTCTTTGTATACCAGCGCCGAAACAGAAAACCATATGATCCATCGTCCTTTGTAACTCGAGGCATCCTTTCGAGTACCTATTCTATGGATGACGATATGGAGAAGGGAAGTACCTACCTTGGAGTACATATTTTCAGCTATAAGGAACTTGAAGAAGCGACTAATTATTTTGATTCTGCGAAAGAACTTGGCGATGGAGGCTTTGGCACAGTTTATCATGGTAAGATCACAGATTTTCTTAACCGTTTTATGAACCCTTCCAGTTCTTAATTTTATAAATTTCGTATATAGGAAATGTGCACGATGGGAGAGCGGTTGCAGTCAAGCGTCTATATGAAAACAATTGGAAGAGAGTTGAGCAGTTCATGAATGAAATCGAGATTTTAGCTCGCCTGCGCCACCAAAATCTTGTGTTGCTCTATGGTTGCACCTCTCGACAAAGCCGTGAACTCCTCCTTGTGTACGAGTACATTCCTAACGGAACTCTTGCTGAACATCTTCACGGAGGAAGAGCAAAACCTGGCGCACTTCCATGGCTTACTCGAATAAACATTGCCATTGAAACCGCAAGCGCACTGTCATATCTTCATGCATCTGACATTATCCACCGTGACGTGAAAACTACGAATATTCTTCTTGACAACAACTTCGGTGTTAAGGTAGCAGATTTTGGACTATCTCGCCTCTTCCCAATGAATGTCACGCACATCTCAACTGCTCCACAAGGGACTCCGGGTTATGTTGATCCCGAGTATAACCAATGCTACCAGCTTACGAGTAAGAGTGATGTCTATAGCTTTGGTGTGGTACTGATTGAGCTCATATCATCCATGCCGGCTGTTGACATCACGAGGCATCGACACGAGATCAATTTGTCTACCATGGCGATCAACAAGATTAAAAACCATACATTACATGAGCTTGTAGACCCATACTTAGGGTTTGAATCGGACTCCAGAACACGAAAAATGATCATTGCTGTGGCGGAACTAGCATTTCGCTGCCTGCAGACTGACAAAGACGTGAGACCTTCTATGGTTGAGGTGCTTAATGAACTGAAGTGGATACAGAGCGACGATTTTAACATACAAAAAGCAGAGGAGATTGATATTTTGGCCGATGATATTGTGCCGTTAAAGAGTGATCCGCTGCCACCTTCACCAGATTCCGTGGCATTGAACTTGACTAGCGCGTCTACGACACCAAATGGCAGCGGTAAACTTATTCGTTCTCCGCCGTAAGTGGTGGCTGTCATTTTGTATTCATCTACTGAACTTGTGATTTGTTGAATGAGATGTATATATTATGTGAGAGCTGACAGAGATTTATGTATGCTAAGGGTCCATGTTTTTAGGCTACATGGTTTATCTCTTTTGTTTCAACTAGCTAATCCTTTTAACGAGGTGATTGTTTTATTCGTTATAGACAAACTTTCATCCTTGTTTTTGAAGAGGGTAGTGCTATTCACACCTCCATTTTTACTTCTTACACTTTTGTTAATTTTTGTCTATTGATCTTTTTCAATTCATTCGATTCGGCGGTCAGAAATTGAGAGTGGGTGTGAGAGGTAAAAATGGGTGTGTAGATAGCACCACCCTTTGAAGAATGTAGAAGTCTCAGACCTGATCAAATCAGATACAACTTATATTGAATGGTTTGTTGTGCTAGGATAGCACCAAACCCGTTGGAACCAACTCAAGCTAACCCAATACACCCAATAGCTCTCACACACCACATCAACAAATAGAGAAAGAAATATAATGAATAATTTATTCTCTATACATATAGCTCAAAGCTATTACAACAACAACTACTTTGGTGGATGATTACTAACCAAATGAAGCAGCAACTTCTTCTTTCTTTTGGGCTCTCTACAACTCTCCTTGCTCTCGGCAGAAAATAAGCTCACTTACTGAAAATGAGCTCTTCCTTCCTTATTTCTTCTATCCGAAAAAAGCCTCATAATTATGGCTTTAAAAAAAGCCACAAAACATGCCACAAAACAAGGAAACATAATCATGTTGTCCTTTCCTTTTTTTAATTTGTTTTGTTGTCCACTTGGCCACTTATTCAACAATCTCCACCTTGGCCAAGTTCCGAAAAACGCCATGATAAGCCAACCAACACAATTAACACACACCATCACTCCCAAACACTAGCAAGAGAACAACTCATGCCGAGCCAAATGCTCCAAAACTCCTACTGCTCAACGCCTTCTTTATATAGGCAAAATGTGAGCCAAGTTCAAGCAATGAACAAACTTTGCTACACCAACAACCTTAGTCAACATATCAGCGGGGTTGTCTTTAGTTGGAATCTTCTGGAGAATGATTTCCCATTCACCAACAATTTCACGAACAAAGTGATAACGCACATCTATGTGCTTGGTCCTCGCATGATGAACCTGATACTTAGCCAAATAAATGGCACTCTGACTATCACAATGTACCTCCACCTGCTTCTGATCAACCCCAAATTTCTAATCAGCCCATGTATCCAAGTGGCCTCCTTTATAGCTTCGGCAACTGCCATATATTCAACCTCTATAGTAGACTTCCTTCCATCCAGATCACCTGCATAATCTGAATCAACATAACCAACTGCAAAATGACCAATACCAGAGTCATATCTCTCAAAGCATAAACCAAATCTCGAGTACCATGGAGATACCTCAATATCCACTTAGCTGCTTGCCAATGCTCTTTACCTGGATTATGCATATATCGACTCACCATGCCAACTGCATGAGCAATATCCGGTCTAGAGCATACCATTGCATACATCAAACTACCAACCAAATTTGCATATGGTATATTTTTCATTTGCAGCTTCTCTTTATCATTTTTAGGACATTGTAGAGAACTCAATTTAAAATGAGGAGCCAAAGGGGTACTAACCGGTTTAGTTGAATCATGAACTCCAAACTTCCGAATCAACTTCTCAAGGTATTGTCTTTGATTCAAACTGACCAAACCCTTCTCTCTATCTCTAGTGATCTCCATGCCAAGGATCTTCTTCGCTTCACCAAGATCCTTCATCTCAAACTCATTTTTCATTTGCTTCTTCAATTTCTCAATCTCTTCGACATTCTTTGAGGCAATCAACATATCATCAACATATATCAACAAATAAATGAAAGACCCATCTTGCAACTTCTTGAAGTACACACAATGATCATATTGACTTCTAGAATAATTTTGGCATCTCATAAATTTATCAAACCTCAAATACCATTGCCTTGGAGATTGCTTCAAGCCATAAAGTGATTTCTTCAATTTGCAAAGCAAATTCTCCTTCCCTTTCACTGTATACCCATCCGGTTGACACATATAGATCTCTTCATTCAAATCACCATGTAGGAAAGCCGTCTTCACATCAAGTTGCACAAGCTCAAGATCATACTGTGCAACAAGAGCTAACATAATGCGAATTGAGGAGTGCTTCACAACCGGAGAAAAGATTTCATTGTAGTCAATGCCCTCCTTTTGTGCATACCCTTTAGCAACTAATCTTGCTTTGAATCTCACATTACTTTTCTCATCAGCATTTTCCTTCTTAGCATACACCCATTTGCAACCGATAGCTTTCTTGTTCTTAGGCAATTTAGCTAACTCCCAAGTCTTGTTGTTCAAGAGAGAATTCATCTCATCACCCATGGCATTGCACCACCTCTCATTCTCCTCACTCTCAATGGCTTCCTCGAAATTGGATGGAATCTCATTAGTGATAATAGGAAGAGCAAAAGAAACATAGTCACTATACCGAGCTGGCTTGGTAATTTGTCTCTTTCCTCTGTTCTTGGCAATAGACTCTTGAGGTGAAACTTGCTCTTCAAATTGAATAGAATCTTCAAGTTCAACTTCTTCAACATCCTCATGGTCTCCAACTTCTTCACTTGTAGTGGCTTCGACATCAGCGGAAATATGATTTGAAGTACCAGAGGCAACTCTCTCAAGCTCCACCTGTTGGACATCTTTCACATTCTTCTCAGAGCCTGTACATACTTTCTTCATCAAATGTCACATCTCTACTAATTACCAGTTTCTTCATCTCTGGACACCACAACCTGTAACCTTTGACACCACTACTAAAACCAAGAAAGATAGCCTTTTTGGCTTTAGGATCAAGTTTATTTTCAGTCACATGAAAATAAGCAGGTGAACCAAAAATACGGATATAGTCATAATCAGAAGAAGGTTTTCCAGTCCATACCTCCATTGGTGTCTTACCTTGAATAGCAGCTGAGGGTAACCGGTTGATGATGTGACATGCATAAGTAACTGCCTCTGCCCAAAACGACTTGCTCAAACCCGACTGAGACAACATACATCTAACCTTCTCAAGCAAGGTTCGATTCAATCTTTCTGCAACTCCATTTTGTTGTGGAGTTCCCCGAACACTAAAATGTCTCACAATTCCTTCCTCTTTGCAAACTTTAAAGAAAGGGTCGGATGTGTATTCACCACCATTATCCGATCTCAAAATCTTAATCTTTCTCCCAGTCTGGTTCTCAACCATTTCCTTCCAACCCAAGAAAATGCTTAACACCTCACTCTTGTGCTTCATAGTGTAGACCCAAGACCTTCTTGAATAATCATCAACAAAGGTCATGAACCAATGTCTACCACTCAAAGAGGGAGTTTTTGTAGGACCCCAAACATCCGAATGCACATAATCAAGAATGCCCTTCGTCTGATGTAGTGCAGTACCAAACTTCACTCTAGTTTGCTTTCCCAAGACACAATGCTCGCAGAAATCAAGCTTACAAGTTGTGGCACCTTTTAAAAGACCTTTTTTCACAAGCCCTTGTAGAGCTTTCTCACCAGCATGGCCTAATCTCATATGCCACAGTCTAGTAGTATCTGAATCAGATGTGCCCATATTTTCAGAGACTACAGATGCTTCACCTGTCACAGTGCTTCCCTGCAATAAATACAAATGGCCACATCGAGGAGCTTTCATCACAACAAGTGCACCATAAGTAACTTTCAATGTCTGTCCATCTGAATGAAACCTGAAGCCCTTGGATTTCAAAGTACCTAAAGAAATAAGATTTTTCTTCAAATTCGGTACATACCGAATACCTGTCAACTCTTTAACCATGCCATCATGCAACTTTAAACGAACTGTACCAATCCCTTTTGTTGTGCAATGGTTGTCATCTCCCATGAACACAACGCCACCATCAAACTCTTTCAAGCTTGAAAACCAATCCTTGTGAGGAGTCATATGATGAGTACAACTCGTATCCAACACCCACTTAGTAGCACAATCAAATGATGAGGAAGTGGTTAAAGCAAAATCAGAAAAATCTGTTTCAACCTCAGCAACATTAGCTTCAGAACTTTCTTTGCCTTTGGTCTTCAATTTAGGACAATCTTTCTTCCAATGGCCTTTATTACGACAAAAGGCACATTCATCCCTTTCCAAAGGTTTTCTACCTTTAGAGTTTCCTCTAGGTCGAGACTGTGATTTTTTCCTACTAGAAGATGATCTTCTCTCCGATGATCTACCTCTAACAAATAAAGCTTCAGAGGTACTATCATGGTTTTTATCTCTATGCCTCATTTCAGAATTCATCAAGGTATTTGACACATCTTCAAATTTCACAGTTTCTTTACCATGCATAATAGTGGTAACAAAATGCTCATAAGAGTCCGGCAAGGAATTCAACAATATTAAGGCCTTATCTTCATCCTTAATATCCTCATCTAAATTTAACAAGTCGGCAATCAACTTATTAAAAGCATCAAGGTGTCTAATCATTTTTGTACCTTCTTTGTATTGAAAGCGGTAGAGCTTTTTCTTCAAGTGTAGCCAGTTCTCTGCACTCTTCGTCATATACTTGTCTTCCAATTTTTGCCACAACACACTTGCTATCGTCTCCCGCATCACAAAATACATCTGAGTTTTTGCAAGGCACAACCGAATTGAAGAGCAAGCCCACAAATTTAATTTCTCCCATTCTGGCTTCGACATAGCTTTCGGCTTCTCTCCCAAAGCGGCAAGTAGATCTTGTTGAGTCAACACATCTTTGACCTCACATTGCCACGTCCCGAAGTTGTTTGTGCCATCAAACTTTTCCACTTCGAACTTTGCATTTTGCACCGTAGTTCTTGCAAACCCGGAGCTGCTTCCAAAAGGATTTTCATCTTGCCCGTCTGACATCTTTGGCAACTAGACAGTACCCAAGAGCAACCAGTGCTCTGATACCAATTGTTGTGCTAGGATAGCACCAAACCCGTTGGAACCAACTTAAGCTAACCCAATACACCCAATAGCTCTCACACACCACATAAACAAATAGAGAAAGAAATATAATGAATAATTTCTTCTCTATACATATAGCTCAAAGCTATTACAACAACAACTACTTTGGTGGATGATTACTAACCAAATGAAGCAGCATCTTCTTCTTTCTTTTGGGCTCTCTACAACTCTCCTTGCTCTCGGCAGAAAATGAGCTCTTCCTTCCTTATTTCTTCTATCCGAAAAAAGCCTCATAATTATGGCTTTAAAAAAAGCTACAAAACATGCCACAAAACAAGGAAACATAATCATGTTGTCCTTTCCTTTTTTTAATTTGTTTTGTTGTCCACTTGGCCACTTGGCCACTTATTCAACAGGTTTCACCATTAATTGTATTTAACCTTTTGTGTGTGTGTGTGTGCATGATTGAAAGTGTTTTTAAAATTATTGAAAACGTTTTTGTTAAAAACACTTTTAGGTTCCAAAAGCGCTTGAAGTGCATTTTGGAAACTGTGTTTATAGTAGGAAGCACTTCAAGTGTTTTTAAGGATTTACTTGTATTTTTACCAAACATAGGTGGCTATTCAGTGTGATTCCTTTGTTTTTGTTTCCTCTATTTTTGTCTGGGTAGAAAAGGTGAAGATCAAGAAAGAAAGCCAACAAAATGTGCAGAGACACTTCTTATTTGCTGATGACTGCAATGGGCTCCATCTGCACAATCTAATGACACACATACCTTTTCATGATATTATTAATTTTTTGATAATACATTCATAGGTATTTACTATTTACATATAGAGAGAGCGCAGTGACGTTGTAGGATTCATACAGCCGACCTTACTTAGTGGAATAAGACTTTGTTATTGTACTATTTACATATACATTAATCTAAAGTAAATGCAGGTAAACTAGTCAGCCCATCATGAACTCCCATTTGATAGCTAATCAAAGGCCTTGAGATGTTAGATCACCATCTGATGATGAGTCGGATATGCTACACTTGATATTTTCCACCAGTGGACTGAATAGATATGGAGATGAATTTATCTGCCAAATATTATCACTGGTACTATTGGTAGCGGCAGTGCACTCAAAGTTGATGCTGCTTGTGCTTGGTAGGTAACCGACATTGATAGATTTATGATGATGATGATCAGCTGCGCCTAAATGTCCATTTTGTTGATCGAATGCTCTCATGACCATTGCCTGATGATGATGGTGAGGATATTGCTCCTCTATATGATCACCTGTTAATGTAAACACGTCCAAGTTCAAAACACATATATAATGCTAACAAACTGGAGTACGGTAGCAGCAAAAGGAATTTCCGAAGACCATGTGAATCAAATGTCATAATCGGAATCGTTTCTTTTTTTTTAAGATTATCTTTTAAAACATTCATTTGATTTGAAGATCATTTAGTCATCTATATGCATTAAAAAAATTGACACGAGGATGACTACTTGTTACTATAATTGTTGATTTGTTCAATACATACAGATGGTCAAATCGCCTCCAAATAAAATCAATTTTTTTTCAGAAATGATCTTTAGATGATGATGATAATGGTAGAGAGAATGGACAGTTCCAATTATAATGTTTGTCTGAAGAAATGATGTCATGTTAAAAGGGAACGTTAAGAGGGAATGCGGACTTCCTCCTTATTAGGAATGAGGGATTCTTAAGATTATAGTATACCTTGTGTCAATAAAGCAGTCTCATTCAACGGTGCATCAACAACTTCCAAGGAATTCCAGTTTGCATAGGCTTCCCTCACCAGATTCTCAATGTAGGTCTGCAAATTCCAAGAGAAAATTGAAGAACAATAGTTAGGCTTAAGGTTAAGGAGGAGTTCCTCTGCAAATACTTCGTGGCCTATTCAAAAAATTTTGTGCTTGTGATCGGAACCATTTATATTATAAATCATTATGTAAAGATCATCTCTGCAAAACTTACGATATTGTAGTCAATCAATTGTAGCAAATAGATAGATGGTTTGCAATGCTTTTACCAAATCCATCTATTTGTTTTTATACAGTTTGATAACTAAATTATCTTAGTAAATGATATTTTTGTAGAGATGATCTTTATATAGTGATTTATAATATGAACAATTCAGATAAACACGACGTTATGTAAATATGCCACAATGTATTTTAGGAGGAATTCCTCAAAAGACAGCTCTTTCTCTATTTAAAAAATGACAATAGCAAGTGATTGATTATATGAATTAACTCATACCCTATTGATATTGTTGAGATTTTGAGTGGGGAAATTTTGGCCATCAACCACAGCCCTCAACACTTGACAGATAGGATTCAAGGAAATTGAGAAATGAGGACCGCGAAATATGAATATTTTGTTACCCATCACACAGGTTTTGGCGTGCTTTACTGTCACTGCCCACATTTTTTCAGACATTCCAACTCCTAAAATCTGGTTTAAAAACAACATTTTGAAAGGAAAAAACAAAAGAATTGATATTAATTAGCCAGTTAGTTAGCATAAGCATGAAGATTATAAATTACTTGTATGTATGAAGATATTTTATACGTACCCTTCTTAGTTTTGACCGGTCAACAACAAACAACTTCAAGAAGTCTTGTACTGTGTGAATGTTCTCTGAGGCTAGCTTCTTGTGAAAAGCTCCATCCTTCCCAATCTTCTCCAGGCGCCAAACTTCATCTTCCAACATTGGTGGATGATGCTTTTTGTACACTTCACAGCAATATTCGAACTTCGTTATTTTCTATAATACAAGTGAATTGATAACACTTATAACAATGTGACAGTCACATCAAAAACTCCTATGTATAATGTACAAAATTGATTCATCAACTTCTAGTTTTCTTTTTTTAAACCATAAACTTTTGTTCTATTTTGCATTTCAAGAATTACAAACATTAGTAAAAAGAAAAAAATCAAGTATCAAAGTAAATCTCTTTTGTTTAATATACTTGGATATTGACATGACTTGAACATATATTTGATTTAATTGGAGCCATAGGCAGATCATGAAAATAATTCTTCTAAAACTAATGAATACCCAAACCCAGGGATGTTTGTTGACTCAAACAATTCACTTGTTTTGTTTTGACGTGATGCATGAAAGGGAAATGTTGTATTAGATTATGCAAATGGCAATATATATATTGCCAAGGTGTTGTCACTAAGTGTGAACATGATCTTTCCCTCCTAATTCCACGAGACTAAGCAAATATTTATAAGATGAAAGCATGTGACAAGTGAATGTTAATGCTTTGTGCTTGTCATGGTTGACTCCACTTAAAGATGAGTATCTCTATAAAATAAGAATATGCCCTAAAATGGATGATCTTTTATTTTTACAACACTCATCAACTAATTAGGTCACACAATGAATGCGGTGGCACAATGGATTTTCTCCTCTAAAAAGAGACCTAACTGACAAATACATTCATGTACATAAAAGGGTAGAAACTATATATGTATATGAATTTGTTATACAAAAAGATGAACGGTTCACAATAACGATAATAGTTAATAAGTAACAGAAATGATGGTCATGATCATCCAAAAACGTATAAAAAGTTGATGAGATAAAGAAAGTATGAAGATCATGCATATAATACTTACATTCTCCGCGATGATCTTTAACAACGAAAGCATCAGTCATGGCCTCATGGATCCTTGCACCTTGATAGCCTGTGCCTGGAGTTACTCTTGCTCCAAGCCTAAACTTTCTGCTCCTAATCCAGCTCGAATTATCTGTAAACTCGATCTCCCCAACCGTAGCAAACCCGTCTCTCGCCGTCACGTTTAAGTCGCCAGTGAGCAATGGCCTCTTGCCAGTTCTCTCCCTCAAGACGTTGTTATCAAATTCTTCACTCGTCCAATTGTCGCGGTCTCCCTTCGGGAAGTCCCCGTCGAGAACAACAATTTCGACTTTGATTGGATTGGGAAGATTGATTGGCACCATTTGATTAGCTCCACTACTTTTATCCACAACCAAGATTTGAATTGGGTTGTTGTCTTCATCGGATATCTTGCTTGCAGTGAAGATTGGGAGTGAGAGGCTCTTAGCAAAGACAAGTTGTAAGCTGGATTGTTCTAGGGTTTGGATTCTCAGCGATGGTTGCCTTGCCAATGAGTGCAGTGAGAACCGTCTTAGAACGTGGTCAACCTCTTCACTCACCTGAAAACAAATCCAAATCAAATTAGACATGGCTTTAATTTAGAAAATATCAATATAACTTGGATCGTTTCGATTAAAGGGTACTAGTACTGTGAACTAGCCCTTAAAAAAAGTTAAAATCTCGCTACATATATTATATATATGATTGTGCAAGATTCTCAAGAGAAAATATAGCTAGGGTTTACGTACCACTCTCCTAAGCAGAGGCTCCAGGGATGAGAAAAGGTTTTGCATCGAGTTCACCAAAACCACTTCTCCGATCACACTGTCAAGAATCAAGAACAATTCAAACATTTTAAGATCAGAAAACGTTTTCTTCGATTTCTATATTCGTAAAAAAGAAAACAAAGAAAAAAATTACTAAAAAATCATGCAGTTCATGGGAAATCAAAGATAAAGATTAGTGCTTAATTAGTTGTTAACTAAGATTAGTAGACCTACGAAGCAAAAGAAGGTCTAGGTCTTTTCCGGTTGTCATCTGGCCGATCTTGGTCGGATTCTGCATCATTAGAAAACCTTTTGGCGGCCATTTTCTCAAAATATACAACTCCAAAGAATCACACAGGAGAGAGAGAGAGAGAGAGAGTGATGAAGGCGATCGGTGAATATTAAGGGTTTAGGGATTGTCACATGCAGCCATGGCTAGCTTTATATAAAATATATACATAAAGAATGAGGAAAAATTGATGGGTTGGTATACTAATATAAAAAGTGAAGTTTCTGGGAACGGCAAGGGAAGCAGCTAGGCAGGAGAGAAACGAGGTGACCTAGGTTTAGCCACACATTACGCTCGACTTTTTGACGTCAACTTCTATAATTTTGTCAATAATTTGCTTCATATTAAACCCTACCACTACTGCTGCGTTGCTGTATGTCCTTATTTGGTCTTGGTCTTGTTCATCTGGTCCTACCCATCACAAAGTCAAAAGTCTAACGGTTGAGATGCATATACCGTCGTGGAAGGGGTTCAACATCAAACCATATCAACTATCAGATCTATGTGTTAGAAAATCTCTACGATTAAAAATCTTAATTAAGTAATCAGAGAATTATTCAATTACAAACCTTAAAAACTTTGATCCTCATAAAAATGACTAACAATATATATCAAGTTAATATTAGAAAAAAACTGGTAATAAATCTATTTATGATTACTATTTCTATCATATTTTATTTCTTTATATATTTATAATAGAAGTGATTTCAAACTGTTAATCAATCGAGTAATATGATGAATGCATTGAATATCTGTTGTAAAACACGAAATTTATGCGATAATATACATGTCTATATCACAAATTTAAAATTAATTTATATGCCGTGTACTGTAAGTACATCGATGTTACTATTAGTCAATAACTACATTTCTCAGAAGGATCTAATTCATTTTCATGTAGGGCCTCTAAATTGTGTGACGTTTTGATTAATTAACAACTATACCATAAACTTGTAACAACAAATGCTCCATGTTAAGACAAAAAGTGAAATAGTACAAGAAAGGACAGAGACACGTATTGCTCCTTTTGCCAGGGAGCTTTGTCACTGTTTAGTTGGGTGGGCAAAATTTCAGATCTTTTGGATGTTGAAAGTAAATCGACGTCGAAAAATTAAGTCATCTTGCATGTGTTTATAACAAAATTAAGTTAATTTTTGTTATATTGTCAATTTATTTTAATATTAGAGTATGTTAATTTACGTGTTGAGCCTAATAGTTCGCGTGTTCATACGTCACTCAATATGCATTGTTTATATGTTTTTTTGACAGGAAACAATAGTGTATTTCATTAATCAACACGAACCATTACAAGGATGTGATTAGGTACATAGCTTCAGTGACTAATAAATTGATCTGAAGTGAATTACACAAATAGACAAATAAGAGGAAACCCCTAAACGACAACCACAAGAGCTAACATACAACCGCCAAGCACACAAAAGCTACCAGCTGTTACATGTTAAACTTAAATGATCTCACATAAATTTCAAATTCTGATTTGCCTGCCGTGGAAAATGTATTCTTATACATCCAAGCCAAGAATATTTCAAGGAAAGTTTGCTGAAAGAACCAAGGTAATTCCTCACTTCAAGTACTGCGTTTGACTGACCATGCAATATTTTTTCTGCGTTTGACTGAATATACAATATTTTTCCTTCTTTACGATTCAAAATTACTTAGAACCTCCCACTACATAATTTTGGTTTCTTCTACTTATTTATGAAATGGCCCAGCTTAAGCAACCCAACCTCTATTCACATACAGACTTGGGCCTGGCAAGGTGTCAAAATTTTGAACAAAATCCGGGTCGTGCCATGGTATATAACAAGTATATCTTCAACCCACTGCATATCAAGTTCAAACATTTTCCCACTAAACTAACATAATACTATCACTTGTATTTGGAATAAATAAATGTGTCCTCAAATGCAAACGGACCGGTTGATAATTTGCCCTAACTCTACAGAAATTTTTGGAGTTCATTCGTGAATAATGATAAATAAAATGTCTTGGGTTCGATTCTTGCCTTTGAATTATATTATTACTTATCCATTGTGAGGCTTAGCCCACTCTCCCACCCCCTAAGTGTAGATAATATTGTTTGTTAAAAAAACAATTATTTCTACCCTACTCGATTACAAAAAGGTAAGGGCATTATTGACTTTTTCATCTGTCATTTGCGCTTTCAGTTACACAATTTTACAGAATCAATTTACCGCATATCATGATGTTATTGTCCTTAAAACGTTATGTTCTAAAGAGTGTACGCAAGTCTTTCTCTATTTGAGATATGATGTTCTGCTTAACGATACACAAAAAGGAAAAAGATGATGTCACAAATTATACTCTTATAAAAGCCCGTGGACGGGTACCGTTCATTAACAGTGCCCCACCCGGTTTTGTCCCTCATTCTCTTCATGATTTTTCAGTTTTAGCGGGGTTGTATGATGAATTGGCCATTTTGCCCCTCTCTCATTTTCTTTCACTCTCCACTTTCCTCTTCTTTTCTTCTCTTTCCGTTCCTCCCCGTTTATTGGTTTCGAATCCGATCGAATTCTCTTACAAGGTGTTTGCCCTTTTTTCCCCTGTTTTCCACGAAGGAATCGCTCGCGTCTAGGTATGTTGATTTATACGTTTGTTTATTTTCTGTTTGGTTAGGAAGAAAATTTTACAATTGATTGTTGTCAAGTTCAGCTCTTCAGCTTTTTGCCCAACATTTTCTTTGTTTTTTCATGCTCTAAGTCTGATTGTTATCTCTAATTTTTTTTATTTTGGTTGCAGGAAACCTTTTTCTTCCAGTTTTAGGGTTTTATTCTCTGATTAGCTTAAACATAATCTCTTAAGAGCTAGAAAGGTTATCCAAAGGATTACATGTTATAGGTTAAAAATTGAGGAGACAATATGACTAATAGATCAGGACCAAAACTGTGTATCAATATGACTGATGAGTAGATTTTATGTTATATATTTTACCCTAATCTTAGTATATTTTGGTTAATATTTTGGAAGAATTTTGATACTTTGAATTGTATTTTCAATATAGGACTTTCGATTTCCTCTGGAGCAAAACAGGATCAAATGGACGAATTTTGGAGTAATTCCAGTTGAAGGACGTTCGTGAGTCACTTAGCTTGATCGTATCAAAATTTGGGATTTTTCCACCAAGCGGTTATTTTCTGGCGATGAAATAAAGAAGCTGTGTGCAGTGCTGGAAAGTAACGTTTTTGGGCTTAAATTGCGTTTTTGGAGCCCAAAATGACCTCGTATGGGTTCGTGGCCTTCTGGAAAAGTGTTCAGAATATTCCAAACATTCAATCCAGCTATATTGGGCCAGTTTTGGAGCAGCTTATGGGACAAAACGTGGCTGTTCAGATTTTAGACGAATTTCGCTATTTTTATTTAGGGTTTTTATTAATTTTAGTGGGCTAGGGTTTGTGTGGTGGCTTAGCAAATATATTGCTTGGCCGTCTACAGTTTCGGAGAACACTTTCTTTTATGCAATTTTGGAGACAAAGAAGTGCTAGGGTTTTGAAGATTTTCTACTTGAAGGTGCTTTCAATCCTTTTCTTAATATATTCATTGATTTACCAAAAGTTATCATGGACGTACCCATTTTTCGACCACAGATAGGAATATAGAGTCAAGAAGATTCTCATTTAATTAAAACATACAAAACTCATTAAACACTCTAACCAGAAGCTCATTTAATTGAAAAGAAAAAGGAATCAATACGTAAAAATTGAACCAATCGATTAAACACATACCAATTATTAAGCTAATTAGTGCTCTAGAAATATAGAGATGTCAAATGATGAAGAAAAGGAAGAGGAAGAGGTTTGGATGACTACGGAGGAGTAGATGGGGGGTGCAAAATGACAACCATGGGAGATGGAATGATTTTTTTAAAGAGAGAGAAGGGGCTTTGCTCCATGGAGATGATGGACTGGTTAGGGTTTTATTTTTTATATTTAAGTAGATTGTTGGGTGTAAAAAGAAGTTTGATTGAGTTGAGTTTTGATAGGTAAGGATGGTTTCGGAAATAACATTGGGTGTAAAGAGATAATGATAGATAAATCAAATATAATGTAGGCATAAAAAGTAAGTTGGGTGTTGAGATACAAAATATGGGTTCAAATAAAATTTCCCCTAGAAAAATGAGAAGTGGCTGCTCTATATTCCTATTTATGGTAGAAAAATAGGTACATCCATGATAAATTTTGGTAGATTAATGAATATTTTTAATCGTGGATATTTATTAGATACAAAGTTGCAGACAACAATTCACATTACATTGAACTGTGGCTAAAAAGTATATCCTCTTTGCACGTTTTATAGGCGAACTCATAGCTAAGCAGTTTTATTGTGGAGCAAAACTTCGAGAATTGATCTAACCTGGATGTGTAATTGAGTTTATGCATTTTAATGATTAAACTAATAAATATTTCGACCATATATGGATTTAATATCGTAGTATCTTTTAGTCTCTATATGCCACACAAGTTGCGGACAAAAATTCACAATACATAAAATTGTGGTTAAAAAGTATATCGTTTTTGCACAATTTATAGGTGAACTCATAGGTAAGCAGTTTATTGTTGATCAAAACTTCGGAAATTGATCTAACTTGAATGTATAATTGAGCTTATGCATTTAATGATTAAATTCATAAATATCTTGACCACATATGAATTTAATATTGTATTGTCTTTTAGCCTCTATATTGGTATCTGTGGTAAAAAAATGGGTACCTCCATGAGAAAATTTTGTAGATCGATGAATATTTTCAATCTGGATATTTATTAGATACCAGAAATTATAAGTCTATTCACGAAAGTCTAAGTCAATGTCATGTACAATATTTGTCAAGACATATTTAGGGAACTATTATTAGCACTCCAAAAATCTCATTCTACAGTCTGCACAAGTGTATTTTTCTTTCTAATTATAGAAAGTTTGGAGTGATAATAACAATTTTGTATATTTATATACATTTTATTTTAGTTTGGAAGTCGACTTCCTTTTTCTTTTCTTTTCTTATCAAGTTGAGAGTATCTCTGATTGTGACCTTGTGCAACTAGTTGTTGATTCGTTTTGAATAATCAACATTATTTCTTACAATGTCTTGGGCCTATGAA